GTAGGGAAATTCTCCTGGTGTCCTGGCTCAATAAAACAGCTCAAGGTTCTTGGTTTTGAGTCTTGAAATCTAAGCTTATGACCAGAAAAAAGTATGGATTGCTTTATCTTCCTCCATATATAAATCTCTGCTTCTCTTCTTTACATTTAAAAATAGACCATATACTTATTAAAATGTCAATTCTAAATGTTAACTACCTTATGTCATTTCTTTTTGACACTCAGTAAGTGTCAATTACTGAGTGGCTCTTATTGAGCCACTCAATATTTTTTTCAAGTGCTAACAATTATCCAAACTTATTTACTTTACTTCCTTTTTCTGACCCTGTGAACACACTGGTGAAGTTACTGATATGCAATAAAATGGCCAGGAAGCAGTTAGCTGGAGAAATGCAAAGTGGTCATACAATTTCACAACTGCAGGCTCCTTTGGGATCATTTATTTCACCTTTAGGATTTTGCACACTGTGCAACAGACACTCACAGTGGGAAAGGAAGTGGGAGGTCACTACCTGACCAAAGAACTTAAACTAGAATAGAGGGTCTTCTGACTCCATGTGCTTCCTTTTCACCATTGTTTCCATGTCTTCCACAAGTTCAACTTTTAAACAGAAATTTTTTGAGTTCTTAAAAAAAATTAAAAGTGTCTGAACAATATCAGTATTTTAAATATTTAAATTTTAGGTGCAAGATCTTCAGTGTAGAAAAAGTTATCTACTCAGAGATTTACTTCTGCTTGATCAAATTGGGATGGGGATGCCAAAAAGATAAAAAAGAAATCCAGGAGAAGTGAGAGCTGACTGTAACGTTTAAGGAAGACATCTCCAATCATCAGAGCTCTCGAGAAGTAGGTGTCGAAGGAGATAATTTCCATCCCTTCCAGAACAACCAGTGCCCTACTTTGATGTATGGAGATAATTCCTGCTCTATAGGGATGGTTAAACTAGTTGATCTTAATTTTTTTTTCTCAGTGCTGAGAATCTGTGGACCTAAGCTTAACTGCAAATTCATTACTTGGATAAATAGAAGAAGAGTGCAAAGTTGTTTCGTTGGCTTCTCTACTCGACTTATCCATAATTTCCTGTGCTGGGCATTCTTCTAAACCAGTTGTATAACTTCAGGTGAATTAACTCACTTTCAAACTTAAAATGCTATAAAGTGGGGTCACACTACTATAATCCTCACTTTACAGTTGAGACAATTCAGTCATAAAGAGGTTAAGTAACTTTTTCATGATAAGATGGCTGGAAGTGGCAGAGGCAGGCTTTAAACCCAAATGGTCTGGCTGTGGAGTTCATGTCTCTTACCACCATGCAGCATTGTAACTGGGGAGAGTAAAATTCATCTCTAGCCTCATATTACTATGTGGACTACTGCCTGAATGGATTCAATATTCTGTGTTCCAAAATGCTTTAAGAAAATATTAAAAATACAAAAACAAAATTAGAAATGAGAGCACAGAGTATCAGACAAAGAGAATAAGCCAAGAGTGAGATCAGTTTGTAAACCGAATGTAGTAAATCCCATATATAAAATTAGTACTGCACTCCAGATCTGGCTTAAGCTTTCTAGCAGTTAATAGGATGAAAGAGAGAATTGGTTATATAATATCCTTTAAAATGAACAAAAACAGGCAGCATTATTCACCAAATGCACAACTATTCCTGCTATAGAAATGAGAAACAAATTCAAACTATGGGGCCTCATAAAGAGGCTGTCTTTAACAACAGGAACAATGTTTCTCACAGTACTCTTAGAATAAACGCAATAATAAATTTCATGGGTCCTTTCTGTAAAAATTACTCTTAACAGAAGCTGGAATGCAATTCAGCTACAATAATTTGGGGGAGGAACATGTGCAAAATCATATCATCCAGAGACCAGTGGCCTGACCTAATTAATCTGGGGTGGGTAAATTGTACAGTACCCAAAAAGATGGTTGGATTGTGTATCCCTAGGTACTTCACCAGGTGTGTAATTTTGTCTAAATATTGGACATGCAGTGTGGATTTGTAGTGAAAATCCCAGGCTCAGGAATCAGTCATAGGTCCAGATGCAAGCTCTGACTTTTACTTGTTTACTCATGAGCAAAATACTTAACTTCCCCAAGCCAGGTAATACGGTAGACTATCATCAGCGATGTATTAATGCAATTAATTTACAGAATCCCATATGTGTATGATTTTATTTATGTTTTGTAAAATACCCTATTTATGTACATACATGTACATCAGTGTACGTGGTTATTTCTGGGGAAGGGAAAAGATTAAAGGTGAGATTTTTCAGAGGGACTCTGACGTGTTTGATTTCATACACTAAATTCTTTATAATATCTAAATTATACACAAAAAGTCTAGCAATGCATTGTTTATACTAAAAGTGCAGTTATAAAAATAAATTGATCGGCAGCCGCATAGCACAAGGAGATCAGCTCAGTGCTTTGTGACCACCTAAAAGGGTGGGATAGGGAGGGTGGCATAGGGAGGGTGGGAGGGAGGGAGATGCAAGAACGAGGAGGTATGGGGATATATGTATATGAATAGCTGGTTCACTTTGTTATACAGCAGAAACTAACACACCATTGTAAAGCAATCATACTCCAATAAAGATGTTAAAATAAATAAGTAAACTGATCGGGTTACAGCAGAAAAAAATTAGTCTTGTGCTGGAAAAAAATGTAAATAGAACTAATAATAGATCCCACAAACACCTTCCTGTGTTGGCAAAATATTTGAAATATTGTGTCTACCTTCAATACATTTACTTACCTTATACAAGCTCTCCACAAAATCAGCCACTTTCTTGCCTTCTCTGTCCTAATTTTCTGTTAATTTGCATTATATTTGAGGTTGTTTCTTGTTTTTATTCAAAAGCAATGATATTAAATAACAACTAATGTAACAGACATTTACATGCAAAATGATGTAGCCAAAAAGTTTGTACCTAAGTACTAATTTAAGTCCTGCAATTAATTTGTTACTATCTCTCTTTGGGCCTCAATTTCTTCACCCAAACAAAAGGCCAGTAGCCTCAGTGACTATAAAGTTAGCTTATAAAATTCCTCAATACCATATTCTCCTGTCATGTTGATGGGGGAATTAGATTCAACATTTCTGATCCTTTCCAATTATGAATTTCTTTATTCTATTATTCTGGGTCAAAGGCAGAAGATGAAAGGGCAAGATGAGACAACCATGAGGTCCAAAGTTAGGTAAGCACACCAATAGTCAAAAGTCCATTATGTCACCAACACCAGAAGACAGAGAAAAAAGCAAGTCCAAAATCAAGGCAAAGAAACAGCAATGGGGAGCCATGCAGTAGCTGAAAGAGTGGCACACATTTAATAAGCAGATGATCAATAATGGGATGATCCATCAGAAATAGGTGAAGGATTCCAGGGCCAAGGAAATCATCCCACCCAGCATGGCCTCATAGTCTGGAGACAATGCCCGAGACCCCAGCCTTGAGGGTAACAGTCAATGATAATTAAAAATAGGTAGCTGGCAGTGAGGGCTGCTCCCAGGAGAAGATAGGGCTTGGCAGAAGTGCTTTCTGACACTTGCACAAAGTCTCAGTACATTACTGTTATAGTTAATCATCAGCAGCTTTATTAATGGCACCTTCTCCCCATCTCCCGAATAGAATTCTGAGAAGAATTAAGCCTACAGTACGAAAAGTGAGAAAATAGTGTCAATTATTCACATAACATATCAAAAGCACTTTGAAAGGTACACATAATACAGGTTAGATCTTTGGTAGTTTGCTTATATTTGAAACCAAATTACCCAGAAAACTGTCTCCCATCATCCCTGTGAGTTACACATGTGGATGGAGTCATAGAGGAAGTCATGATTCTTTCACAAACTTAAAGGACACTTAAAACTTCAAGTGTGGAGAATTCAGTGAGCAAAAATACTTAGAAATCAACTAGGCCCCTTGTTTATTTAACAAAGATGATCATAATGTAAGTGCATCTTTTCTGCTTTTAGAAAAATTGAGCCATTTGCATTTAAAAGCAATTTACTTTTTATTTTTCTTGCATGATTATAATGATCATTTGAAACTCAGTTGGGGCTTCTCAAATGACTTGAGACATTTTTATTCTTTGAATTTTGAAAATGCTGAATAAAACCATGGAGCCTCTTGCTATTTACTTACATTTCATTTTCTTCACATGGTGAGTCCGAGAGCACCAACTGAAACACATGTTTAGAACAATGAAATCCAAACATTTCATGCCTAATCCTTTAATACAGTGCCTAGAGACAATGTGCATTTATATCACTTTGCTTGTTTTTCTGTTTTAATTAAAAGCTCCGCAGCAGAGTCTATTGGTGCAAAGAATTGTAATTGAAAAAAATCTCTGGGTAGATTCTCCAGCTCAGCAGTGACAGGAGATATATACTGGGAGCCAGATTCCTATCCTACACACCGCCATAGGTGGGTGTGAAAACACTTTGTTTTTTCTATAGGCAGATTTTGCTTTATCTAAAGAGCTTTTGTGCACCTTGCATTTTTCTTTGTTTTCACATTTTAGCTAGAGGAAGGAGTTTCATTACTTGTGAATATTATTTTCACGGAAAGGAATCAAGTTCCCTACATGAAAACTGAAGTCCATTCCCTTCGCGTTAGTGGATATTAAATACATGGACGAAGGTGGGAGTGATTTTAACCTGCTCTAAGGCTAAGGTCAACCTAAGATCCATTGACATTCCTGTTGAGATTTACATTTTTCTCTTTATCAAAGAAGAGGGGAAAACTAATAACCTTGATTGCTTTGTTTTAAAAGACCCAAACCGTAAGTATTCTAACACAATGATCTTATCCTCTGTGTCGAGCCTTATAGGCTACAATAACTCACGTCACAGAGGAAAGAAAGTACTCCTATCTAGAGGACTTGCTTATAGGTTTGTCTTTCTCTTGAACTGAGACCCTTTTCATGTACAATGAGAAAAATTGTTGAATATTATTTATATGTAGCCCTAAACATTGTGTTGATGAGGTCTGTGAAGTATTTATTTTCCTGGACCCTACATACAAATATCAATACAAGTAAGAAGTTGCAAAATTTAAAATCATAGACTTGGAAATTTTGCGTAAGGTACGTTTTTTTCCCCTTAATCCCAGACTCATCTTCTTCAGCACCTCATATTTATTCCACCAAGTTTGTCTGGGCAAAGAGATTTGTGGAGTTGCAGATGGAGTCATGAACTGGCCATCAGAGAGCGTGGTAATGAACAATTTATAAGCACAGAAAATGAGTTGCACTCTCTTTTGCTAGAATGCTGCAAATAGACTTGCATACTAACTGAGAGGAAAATGAACGTTCAAAATTTGTCCATAAAGAAAGTTTATTTATGAGCAGATGAAATCATTTAGGATCCAGCTTAACAGATAAACAAATAAAGCCAGCATTTCACTTTCAAGTCACTTCCTTGAAACCCTAGCAAGAAGTACACAGTGTTACATTATTACCACCTCACTTCCAATGTCAGACTTTGCAGTTATCAAGAAATGGGGAGTGAAGTCTTAATATATTTCATACCTAAATATTTCAGATACGCTGCATTCAAGAAACACAGATACAGAAATGCAGGGATTAGTCAGAATGAGATACTGGAGCAGAGGAATCAAAATAGACTCTAAGATGGCTCTGTCTTCACTGTTCAGCACTGAAAAACTGTTGAGCCTCAAGTATGGCTTTGGGCAACAGTAAACATATCTTAAATAAATCCTGCCACAGCATTTTATGTCAATAGCACTTCTGATTTTTAAAAGTTTTACAGCATAACAAACTTAAAAAAAATTTAATCACATCATATTTCAATAGCAATAGAACTAAATAAAGAAGACATAGGACTAAGGTCATAAACCATTTTGTTATTTGTATGTTTAACCAATATATATAATGCCCTAAGATTCTGGTAACATTCTTAAAGGAAATCTTCTAACTGTCGGAGTCATTGTTACCCAAACCACAAATTTAAAACAAATCAGATCCTTAGAGTAGTAGCTTTGAAAATCTTTTCCCAGAAAGAGAGATGGTTACCTGGAATAGTGGCAAACACAAGATTCCTGTTTTTGAGACCATCGAAGTGACACTTAGAAGTCTAGATCTCGACATAACTTAAAGGACAAGAGGCTCAAAGATAGTGGTTTGCTGTCTGTGTTTATCTCCGTCTTTCTCAGAACGTGTTAGCTTCTCTATAAGTTCTGCTTCATGCCAGGGCACTCATTAATGCTGGCTCCTTGTGACTGGTAAAGTGCCTGCCAGGAGCAGGAATTTTAGGTGCAAGCTCACAGGTACTGAAAGTTCAAGGATTTCAGTTTAAGCTCAGAGCACTGATAATGTTTCTCAAACCCTTAAAAGCCAGGGTAATGCATGCTGACCTGCAAAACTAGCTGGCTGCTGAAATAACTTACAACATTCAAGTGCACGTTTTATTCCAGGGTACTTCTGGGTTGTTTGTTTGTTCGTTTTGTAGATTTTTTTTTGGAAAATTTATGTTTCCTTCCCTTTGTTGGTCCTCTTTGCTCTTCTTTTCCAATACATCATTTTCAGTCCCAGGTGTAACCCAACCTTGGACATAAAGCTTTCCCTGTCTCATAATAATTGCAGCTTACTTTTAAACAGAGTATATTTCAGTATATATATAAATGAAAGAACTCCAACACAACTACCAACAAAAAAGTTACCAAAAATGTCTAAGGAAGTTCTGAAAAAGAACAACTAAAGAGGCGCTAAACTACTATATATTAAGACATTATAAAAGCATAAAAATCGGTACTGACACATGTAAACAAAAAGATAGATGGAACAGAATAGAGTTCAGAAATAAAATACACACAGAGATTTATTTCAGCTACCATTTTATTTTATTTTATTTTTTTAACATCTTTATTGGAGTATAATTGCTTTACAATGGTGTGTTAGTTTCTGCTGTAAAACAAAATGAATCAGCTATATGTATACATATATTCCCATATCCCCTCCCTCTTGTGTCTCCATCCCACCCTCACTATCCCACCCCTCTAGGTGGTCACAAAGCACTAAGTTGATCTCCCTGTGCTATGTGCTGCTTTCCACTAGCTATCTATTTTACATTTGGTAGGGTATATATGTCAATTCCACTCTCTCACTTCATCCCAGCTTTCCTTTCCCCCTCCCCGTGTCCTCAAGTCCATTCTCTACGTCTGCGTCTTGATTCCTGTCCTACCCCTAGGTTCTTCAGACCATTTTTGTTTTTTTAGATTCCATGTATATGTGTTAGCATATGGTATTTGTTTTTTTCTTTCTGACTTGCTTCACTCTGAATGACAGTCTCTAGGCCCATCCACCTCAATACAGATAAATCAATTTCATTTCTTTTTATGGCTGAGTAATATTCCATTTTATATATGTGCCATGTCTTCTTTATCCATTCATCTGCTGATGACCACTTACGTTGCTTCCATGTCCTGGCTATTTTATATAGAGCTACAATGAACATTGTGGTACATGTATCTTTTTGAATTATGGTTTTCCCAGGTACATATACCCAGTAGTGGGGTTGCTGGGTCATATAGTAGTTCTATTTTTAGTTTTTAAGGAACCTCCATACTGTTCTCCATAGTGGCTGTATCAATTTACATTCCCACCAACAGTGCAAGAGGGTTCCCTTTTCTCCACACCTTCTCCACAGCATTTATTGTTTGTAGATTTTTTGATGATGGCCATTCCGACGGTGTGAGGCGATACCTCATTGTGGTTTTGATTTGCATTTCTCTAATGATCAACGATGTTGAGCATCCTTTCATTTGTTTGCTGGAAATCTGTATATCTTCTTTGGAGAAATGTCTATTTAGGTCTTCTGCCCATTTTTGGATTGGGTTGTTTGCTTTCTGATTTTGAGCTGCATTAGCTGATTGTATATTTTGGAGATTAATCCTTTGTCCGTTGCTTCATTTGCAAATATTTTCTCCCATTCTGAGAGTTGTCTTTTTGTCTTATTTATGGTTTCCTTTGCTGTGCAAAAGCTTTTAAGTTTCATTAGGTCCCATTTATTTATTTTTGTTTTTATTTCTATTTCTCTGTGAGGTGGGTCAAAAGGATCTTGTGATTTATGTCACAGAGTGTTCTGCCTATGTTTTCCTTTAAGAGTTTGATAGCGTCTGGTCTTACATTTAGGTCTTTAATCAATTTTGAGCTTATTTTTGTGTACGGTGTTAGGGAGTGTTCTAATTTCATTCTTTTACATGTAGCTGTCCAGTTTTCCCAGCACCACTTATTGAAGGGACTGTCTTTTCTCCATTGTACATTCTTGCCTCCTTTATCAAAGATAAGGTGACCATATTTACATGGGTTTATCTCTGGGCTTTCCATTCTGTTCCATTGATCTATATTTCTGTTTTTGTGCCAGTACCATACTGTCTTGATTACTATAGCTTTGTAGTAGAGTCTAAAGCCAGGGCACCTGATTCCTCCAGCTCTGTTTTTCTTTCTCAAGATTGCTTTGGCTATTTGAGGTCTTTGTTTTTCCATACAAATGGTGAAATTTTTTGTTCTAGTTCTGTGAAAAATGTCATTGGTAGTTTGATAGGGATTGCAAGGAATCTGTAGATTGCTTTGGGTAGTAGAGTCATTTTCACAGTGTTGATTCTTCCAATCCAAGAACATGGTATATCTCTCCATCTGTTTGTATCATCTATAATTTCTTTCATCAGTGTCATAGTTTTCTGTATACAGGTCTTTCGCCTCCTTAGGTAGGTTTATTCCTAGGTATTTTATTCTTTTTGTTGCAATGGTAAATGGGAGTGTTTCCTTAATTTCTCTTTCAGATTTGTCATCATTAGTGTATAGGAATGCAAGTGATTTCTGTGCATTAATTTTGTCTCCTGCTACTGTACCAAATTCATTGACTAGCTCTACTAGTTTTCTCATACATTCTTTAGGATTCTCTATGTATAGTATCATGTCATCTGCAGACAGTCACAGTTTTACTTCTTCTTTTCTGATTTGGATTCCTTTTATTTCTTTTTCTTCTCTGATTCCTGTGGCTAAAACTTCCAAAACTATGTTGAATAATAGTGGTGAGAGTGGACAACCTTGTCTTGTTCCTGATCTTAGTGGAAATGGTTTCAGTTTTTCACCATTGAGAATGATGTTGGCTTGGGTTTTTCATATATGGCCTTTACTATGTTGAGGTAGATTCCCTCTATAACTACTTTCTGGAGGGTTTTTATCATAAATGTGTGTTGAATTTTGTCGAAAGCTTTTTCTGCGTCTATTGAGATGATCATGTTTTTTATCCTTCGATTTGTTAATATGGTTTATCACATTGCTTGATTTGCATATATTTGAAGAATCCTTGCATTCCTGGGATAAACCCCACTTGATCACGGTGTATGATCTTTTCAATGTGCTGTTGGATTCTGTTTGCTAGTATTTTGTTGAGGATTTTTGCATCTATGTTCATCAGTGATATTGGCCTGTAGTTTTCTTTCTTTGTGACATCTTCGTCCAGTTTTGGTATCAGGGTGATGGTGGCCTCATAGAATGAGTTTGGGGTGTTCCTTCCTCTGTAATTTTTTGGAAGAGTTTGAGAAGGATAGGTGTTAGCTCTTCTCTAAATGCTTGCTAGAATTCACCTGTGAAGCTATCTGGTCCTGGGTTTTGTTTGTTGGAAGATTTTTAATCACAGTTTCAATTTCAGTGTTTGTGATTGGTCTGTTTATATTTTCTATTTCCTCCTGGTTCAGTCTCAGAAGGTTGTGCTTTTCTAAGAATTTGTCCATTTCTTCCAGGTTGTCCATTTTATTGGCATATAGTTGCTTATAGTAATCTCTCGTGACCCTTTATATTTCTGCAGTGTCGGTTGTTACTTCCCCTTTTTCATTTCTAATTCTATTGATTTGAGTGTTCTCCCTTTTTTCCTTGATGAGTCTGGCCAATGGCTTATCAATTTTGTTATCTTCTCAAAGAACCAGCTTTTAGTTTTACTGATGTTTACTATTGTTTCCTTAAGTTATTTTTCATTTATTTCTGATATGATCTTTATGATTTGTTTCTTTCTGCTAACTTTGTTTTTTTTTTTTTTTTTTTTTTGTGGTACGCGGGCCTCTCACTGTTGTGGTCTCTCCCATTTGCGGAGCACAGGCTCCGAACGCGTAGGCTCAGCGGCCATGGCTCACAGGCCTAGCCACTCAGCGGCATGTGGGATCTTCCCAGACCGGGGCACGAACCCATGTGCCCTGCATCGGCAGGTGGACTCTCAACCACTGCGCCACCAGGGAAGCCCCTAACTTTGGTTTTTTTCTGTTCTTCTTTCTCTAATTGCTTTCGGTGTAAAGTTAGGTTGTTTATTGGAGACTTTTCTTGTTTCTTGAGGTAAGATTGTATTGCTATCAACTTCTCTCTTGGAACTGCTTTTGCTGCAACCCATATGTTTTGGATCTTCCTGTTTTCATTGTCATTTGTTTCTAGGTATTTTTTGATTTCCTTTTTGATTTCTTCAGTGATCTCTTGGTTATTTAGTAGCATATTGTTTAACCTCTATTTGTTTGTATTTTTTACATATTTTTTCCTGTAATTGGTATCTAGTCTCATAGCGGTGTGGTTGGAAAAAATACTTGCTACTATTTCAATTTTCTTAAATTTACCAGGGCTTGATTTGTGACACATGATATGATCTATCCTGGACAATATTCCATGAGCACTTGAGAAGAAGTGTATTCTGTTGTTTTTGGATGGAATGTCCTATAAATATGTTAAGTCCATCTTGTTTAATGTGTCATTTAAAGCTTGTGTTTCCTTATTTATTTTCATTTTGGATGATCTGTCCATTGGTGAAAGTGGGATGTTAAAGTCCCCTACTATGATTGTGTTGCTGTCAATTTCCCCTTTTTTGGCTGTTAGCATTTGCCTTTTGTATTGAGGTGCTCCTATGATGGATGCATAAATGGTAACAATTTTTATATCTTCTTCTTGGATTGATCCCTTGATCATTATGTAGTGTCCTTCTTTGTCTCTTGTAATAGTCTTTGTTTAAAAGTCTATTTTGTCTGATATGAGAATTGCTACTCCAGCTTTCTTTTGGTTTCCATTTGCATGAAATATCTTTTTCCATCCCCTCACTTTCAGTCTGT